AATAATCGTCAACTGCTCTACTCTAATTCATAGGTTTTTTTTGTATTGATCCCGGGATCTATCGATACAATAGTATGGGCATAAAAAAAAGCAACCAAGTCATCCCTTAGCACAAGCACTAAGTAAGCAAGCTACCTTTTTTTCTAAAAATAACCCATAAAATATTGAATGACTGAGCACTCAAATCCTATCGCGAGTCTTGATACATAGTCTCTTAAGTCCTTTCCAGACCTAACTCCTAATTTTATTCTCCATCGGCCCATCCAATCTAATTCACGACTCAGTCAATAGACACTACACTAGTAGGGTAGTCAGTTATGTAATTAGTAATTTTTTAACCAAAAACCCCTCCCTTCTTGGATCCTAGGAGCAAGGATTTACAGTCCTTTAGAACAACCTTTTGATCCCGGCCCCTGACTTTCGTATTTTTGAATATCACAATTGAATCTTACTGCCCAAGTCGATCCTATTAGCATAGGGCAAACGACGGCGGGATCTCGGTGCCTTTGTCTTGCTCTTGAAAGAATAGAAGTTGAGTTCGAGTTGTTATCATGCCGGATCAGAAAAGTAAAAAGCCATACTAAGAGCCTACGGACCTGCTCACGGGAGTCAAGCCTGTTCTGTAGTGGGCAGACGTAGCAGGGCCATCTGAAAGAATATAGGAAAAAGAGCCGCTGGAGAAAACCAATTATGTCGGGTTCTCAATTCCATGGAGTATGTAGTGAGTTTGAATTTACCCGGTTAGCTATAAGGTTCCTTTCGCTACCGTCCTAAGGTTCAACCAACCGTTGGTTTGCTTTAACAAGATTTAACTGAAGTGAACCCGACGCGAAGTTGGTGAAACCTTAGCATAGCTAATGAAAGGGAATACCTAAAATTCGAACAAAACCGACTATAAGCCCTGAGAGCCAGCAAGCAAACCCCCCAGACTCTCTCTCTAAAAAAAAATCCTGCGTAGTAAACTCCTTGTTTGTTTTCTTTCCGATAGCTGCCGTTTTTCCAGTTTTCAAGTCAAGGGAGAAAGCAAGTGGAATAATACTTTACTTTTTTCAGCCATTTCTCAGCAATAGCTACCTGAATGGAAGCAAGCTACGGGGATAAGAAGAAGAGTGGTCGAAGACTACGAGTCGAAGCTAAGACCAATCTAAGCCAATATCCGTCAGCTGGAAACTATCTAGATAGCTTTTTAGCGCTTAGCTACTTTATCCTTCTGCGCCGCTAGCGCTACTACTCCTAGTGATAGGAATAACCTACTCTTTTTCGCGAGAAGGCCCATCTCGTCTCGGACCAGTGACGTATTCTAATGATCTGGATCTCTGGCTTATCTGTTACTTGACGGATTCCATTTCGGCTAGTGGGATTTAAGTGACGATAATCAGGGAAAAGGGTTGATTGGCTCTGATCGATACCATCTAAAAGTTCTTGCTTCATCCATTCGTTACTGGTTATTCTTACGCCTCTAGTGACTCTTGGAATCATGCGCATGGCTCCATGTCGGCCTTAATTTGGCGTCGGTGTAACGACCGGTGCAAGTAACAAATACTACCTACGAGTCTCATTCTCTCGCATTCGTCCTTACCTGTGTTCTATTCTATTGATCCAGTTTAGGCAGCTTTCAGTCTCTATAAACTTGATGGAATATTTCTTACACAAGATGCGAAGTCATCAATCAATGGCATGAAGGAGTTCAATCAGGAACAGAAAGACTTAGGGTCAGATCAAAATGGGTAAGCAAGCAAGCCTTGCAGTGTGACCGCAACTTGCTAGCCGACACCGGCTACCGCAAAGAGTTCAGTGTAAAAAAAAAAAAGCTAAAGAAAAGACCCTTCCATTATTATACTGAATATTACCTTTCAACCCCTTACGTAATGAAGCAAAGTTCTGAACTTTAGTCAGGGTCAACTCAAGATAACTCTTTCATTCGTCGAAGCAGAGATATGAATTGCTACTTGAACTAGAAAGCATACTACTTAGATAATAGTAATTCATGTACACATCCCGTAGGCAAGGAAAGAGATTATTAGAAAGCCAAGCCAGTGCAGAGAGATAAAGTATAGTTACATAAAGAAGAGGAACCTGTTGCCAGAGGAGGCTATGAAATAGTTGCCAGTGATTGCTTTGGCAAGCTAACTGAAGGATCGAGGATAAAACCTCTTGTCAATAAAGACAATTTTCATAGAAAAGTAAGCGAGTGGAATAAATGGAACGAGTATAAGGGCTAGTTAGTAGGTGAGTTTTCTAAGTGTTAAAATTGTAGTAAGCAGTAGTTAAGCTCTCAAGCGAGTCAGTCGTTAGTTTAGTTGAGAATCCTGTCCAGTAAGGGAAGTAAGTAGAGTCAATAGAGTTGAGTAAGTCCTTGTTTCTTTCCCTTTTACGTTGAGGGAGCTAGTAATGTAAGTGCTCGTCATGAAGATAGTATAGGAGAATATGGCCCCAATGATAGCACGAGCGAGCAGGGAAGCCCATGAAGTTGGGCCCGTTTAAACGCCTTTTAACGGCCGTTTGATGGCTGTTTAAGGTAGGTCTCAGGAGTTAAGTTTAAGGAAGATAAGATGTGCCAGTTATAATTACCAGGATCTGCCACGGTATTTGATTGAAAGAGTGTGGTACCGGTACAAATTACTTTTTTGAATTAGATAGCCCCTCCTCTAATTCCACGAATAGATTCGATCCATTAGATTATTTTTTACTCTTTCTTATTTAGATTGCACGAGTTTTCTGAGCCTTAGTTTGCAGCTTTTGTTGAGCCTGCCTACCTTTCCTTCTTTCATTCTTTGTTGGCTCGCAGTGAGGGATATCGATTACTGGTCGTAAGGGGCGGGATATCTAGTTCAGCAGCAGATCCTAATTACCCTTCTGGTGACCAAGAAGCAGGAGCGGGTAGTGGATTCTGCAGATTCATAGTCAGTTTGTTCTCGTCCCCACATAAAGAGAAACAAAGCGAGCAGTACCCTTTGGTGTTCTCTACCATGAGTCAAGGGATAGGAATCCACTGAATAGCTAGTAAGATAGATTGTGTCTAACAAGCTAAGAATCTTCAGGTCGTAAGCCTTTATACCCAGCTCTAGCTTTTTCTAATTCTATATTTCTTTACTTCATTATATCATTCTCAGTTGAATTTCCTTCGAAAGATATGGCTTCTGGTTGTTGTGTCCGATAATATAAATAGTCTCCGCGAATATTAATGATTCTACAGTGGCATAGCTCCAGACGTGGGCTTCTTCCCTTCAAACTATGGGTAGCCGGATGTTTAGCAATAGGATACCCTTACTTAAGTAAGTCCGCACTTGGGCATAGTATAGGTTTTCCACTTAATCCACTATCAATGTATCAATGGTGGTGGTCCTTCTGTGTAAAGTTAGCTAGTGTGGATTCGCCAAACAACCTCTTGACAAGAGCCTATTCATTTAATTCTTGCTATTTCCGCACCCCTGTCCGGTCCGGTTTTTTGAGAAAGAAAGTCGAGACATTCAGAAAGAGAGTTATGGCATTTCTAGGATTAGAATACGGTCCTATTGATTCAATCTTTATGCCTGGCATGGAACTCTTGTTTCGAGTGAAAGGGAGAGTTGTGGCCCGCACCGCATTCATAGGTAAATTTCCCTCTACGGGGCGGGGTGTGGAAAGCACTATAAGTTAGTTGAATTCTCGGCTTCTTACCAGTATTCCTTCTCTTACTAGCGTAGCTTGATTCTTTATAAAAGACTAACGACAAATATTTTCTACCTCCTGTAAGCTCGTTACGCTTAACGCCCACTTACTTAAAGACTCGTTGATTTACGACTCTATAAATTTTAATAATAATTTGAGTCGTTACCTACAGAAGCAGTTGCCCTTCTTCGGATTTACCCGGTGAGGGTGGCGCTTGTGAGTCAAAGTTGAGACTTTCCATGTATGTTTGGCATCCTGGGAGAGTAGTCCTAGGTACTGAAGTTACTCCCGGGTAGAGAAAGAAAGTGCTGGCAGAAAGGAACTCTCAAAGCATGGGGTTTCGCCTGGCGAAGCTCCTATCCCCAAAGGTTGTTGTCGGAATTTTCGTTCTTTGCATGTTAGCACTTTTACCTGACCCTTTGTCACTACTTTTTGATCATGTGGATGCCCCTCTTAGAGAATTCGCGAAAGGACACTGTGAGGGGGATGGGTCCTAGCTACTTCTTTCATACCAAGAAAGATAAGAAGGGATGCTTGTTATCATTCCAGTGCCACTGTCCAATCTGTGAGTCCATATTTTGGAATATAATTCCCAAGCAAAGGATTAGAAGGTAAGGTGCCAAGTTCAAGGCAAAGCTTAGTCGGATTTTTCCCCTACCCCTAGGTTAACTAGCTTTAGCTTTCGATAAGACAGTTCAAGCAGAAGACTAACTTGAGGATGTCACGTGGAAGCTTTCCTAAATCCATTTGACCGGAGCCGGGATAAAAACTACTTATATATGTAAGGATATACCACCAAACCTGTGAGCCTTCCCAAATTCAACAGATTCCACATAGCAAACTCTTCAGATCATGAATCGCCTTTATTTTATATTTTCTTTCACGCCCTGAGCCTGAGCTAACTCATTTATCTTTCGGTCTATTACAATTCGGCGTAGCTCCAAGCGAAAACATCAAAGAATTCTCTGAGTAGATCCATGTACTGTCAAATCTCTTTCATTTGAGAAGCTTGCACTTAGGAATACAGGGCGAGGATTGTCAACAGTCCCGAGATCCATTTACTTGACCTCGTCCTCTTTAGGGGGCACAGGCTCTACATCCAATTATTGAACTTACTCTCGTCTCTTTGCTCTTTGTTTTACATTTATAGACTATTGGAAGAGATCTGAAAGAATGATCTCCAGAACTTTCGGCGTAAGACAAAGTTTTCGGCGCAGGGAGCGGAGTTGGCAGGTAGCCCAAGCCTATGTTTTCTGAGATCGACGTACTGGCCGGCTAGCCAAGCTTCCCTTTCTTCTTCACTTAGATGCGGCTCGAGGGGTACTTTTATGCCTCGACCGTTCTTCACTTCAGCCTGACAGGCTCCTCAAGGTCATAGCCCATGTCCTTCGCTTCTTTGCAATCGGACTGTACTTTCTCTTTCTTATCTCACCATCGGTGACGATTCTTTCCAGCGTAGAATAAGACTTCCGGGCTACCTTGTGAAAGATGAGGAAAAAAACCCTCCATTGAGAGGACGAATGTCGCTCCACTCCATTAGGGTCCTCTGCCTGAGAAGGTTGTTGTAATGCAGGAAGTGGCATCTTTACCGAGAGTTGAAGTAATTCCCCCAGCCCCAGTTTAGAGATTTCGTCAACGGGGTCATGCTCTTTGAGATAGCGTTGACCGTAAATCCCTTAGCTTTCTAGGGATTCAGAGAGGTCTACGAACCTGTGCTTCGGCTTTCGCTGGAGGGCTTTCGTCATCCATCACTGTCTGGGCCGTCGTTGTAAAGACGCGCATCCGTACAGACAGTATGCCTAGACTCCTTTAAAAAAGTGCTTATTGTCGGCAAATACCCAGTTTCTCCCTTCTCATCAACGTATTTGAAGCATTGATGAAGGGTGGAAGGTACCACGCTGTGGATCCAAGCAGGAAGTTTAGGAGGTGTCACCGTCAATCACGTAAGAAGTGACCTCAGTCTTCAGATCCGCACACACAAGAGACGAATCTTGCCGATGGCTCTTTGCGAGTCGGCATTGTACCCCGGAATAGTAACCTTGGTCTGACTTAGCCGGCTCGTAGGAAGGAATTCCTAGATCGGCTAGGGCCCGCAGTGGCATCACGTTGATGGAGGCCCCAGGGTCCCGCGGTAGCCTTCTTTCGCCGATGTCACCGGTGAGATAAAGGGGCCGCTTATGTATGCTTCTTCTTGTCCAGCAAGATGTCTTCTGTCGATAAGGTTATATCTGCACTCTGGACTTTCTTCATTGGTGCTTCCATGTACTCATCTTCGATGCTTTGAACTTCCACCCTGTTGACATGTAGGGCATACTTTTCTTTGCTTCCTTCCTACTACTAAGTTGCTTTCTTTATAGGCTAAAGCCTCCTATCTACGGTAGCTGACGCAGCAAGACCCGAGGAATCGGATACGGATCTTTTTCAGTCTCTTTCGCTGGGGCAAAGCAAAGAGGGAGGACTTTCGGAAGAAGGCGTCGTCCGCTGATGATCTTGAGGTTGGGAGGCAGGTTAGGGGGAGAACTAATGCTTGTGGATAGCCCACGAATACTCCTTACTTAGGCTTTCCCCCCGGAAGAGCTGATGCTACTTACTAAGAGACTTCCGTTAGTAAGGAGAGAACTATAGGCTTTAGCCCAAAGACAGAGTCAGGGATTTCTTAACAATCTAGTCCCTCCTGAAACAAGACAAGACAGGGGGTGGAGTGAGCCTAGAGTAGAATAAGACTTCCTCTTAGACTCTCAACTCATACCAGGGTAGGCTGGGAAAGACTAAGACTACCGATACCGAGCCAGGGTTGGATCACAGGATAGATACCCTATGGTTGGTCTCTATGCCTGCTTCACTTTGTAGCATTAAGGGGGCAGTGCCATGAGGGAAATCGACTAGGAACGCGATGTCTTCCCAAAAAATGAAGAGTGGAGGGGACTTCGACTGCCTTCTTGTATCGGGTGAAGAGAAGGGGGTGTTAGGCTTAGTAGGGCTCGAACCTACAATATTACCGTTATGAGCGGTACGTTTTAACCAATTAAACTATAAGCCCCTACGAATCTCTACATGCAATTCGCTCACTTCGGGAAGAGTGGACGGTAAAAGGAGGCCTTTGCTCTATCTGCTTCTTCCTCTTCCCAAGAATGAACAATTGGACAAAAAAATAATTTTTTTCTTTGTTTGTATATATATATAATAAAATTAAGATTAAGCAAGCGGCCCTTTCGTGACTCAAACTGCCGGTACGCTTTCCGGCTCGCAACGACTCAAATGGGCGGGGGCTATCTATTTGCTTGCAAAGCGGGCTGTTCGCCTTTCGGATTCGGAAAGGGCTCGCCTATTTGATTCAAAAGGCGCTACTAAACTACTATAGTACAGCTAGTGTTAGTAGTACAACAGAATGCCGTTCACCCTACAATCCCTTCTTCTTCAAGAGCTCCCTATTCTCTAGCAGCCCCTTCTTTCACAGCTCCTTCTCAAGCACTTGCCATTGTCTGGAAATTTTCCTTGCCCCATTCTTCGATTATTGGCGCATCAATTCCTTGCCTTTGCTCTCATTGCTGCTTGAAGTCCAGTCTTTTAAGTTAAATCCCAAAAATGGAAAGTCAGTAGTCATTGTCGGGATGGAAAGCGACTCTTCAACCACTTATTTAAGCGCTATGCACCTAAGCTCAGTCTTTCTGGCAGCTATCTTGCTAAACCAAGATTCTTGCAGTTCCTTTTTCTTCTCTCTTTATGCTCGAAATCGTACTCATTCGACATCTAATTTCATGGGCTGGGCATACCTTCTTTAGCTCATTTTTATCTTTCGTTGACTTTGAGGAAGATCAGATCCCACGAATCGTCTTCTATCGACATCGTCTGCTTACTCTTATCGTACGCTCTTCATACCCAACCCAAATCGTACTTTGTCCGCTCTCCCTTTCCTGGTGAAGGAGAGAGAGTTTTACAAGCTGATGCAGCTAAGAAAGTATCGTTGAAAGCAGGAACGAAGACTGTGACGACTATTTGAACTAGTTTCAAAGGCTTGATTGAACATTGGGAGTTAATCTTGCTAGGGCGCCCTCGTAAGGCGTAGGGTAGAGATTTGAAACCGGAGGCCTCTCCTCATCTAGTTCTTTCGTTACGCCGAGAAGAAGCCGAAAGAAGCTTGGAAGAAGAGATGGTCAATCTTCTCTTATCTTATGGGTGAGACTGCTAAAAAAGAGGCTCTTTAAAGCCAGAACGAGTCCTCTCTTGCGGGAGGGATAGGCGGGAAAGGGGGAGGAGGTATTCAGTAACTCCGTTTTTGAATTGGGTCACGAATGGTATTCGATTTCTTTTAACAGCATAAAAGCATTCGAACTTGGGAGATGCGAAAAAGAAAAAGGTTATTTTGTATATTCCTTCTTGAAGATAGTACGCACAGGTGAGAACATCCCTAATCGAATGGCCTAGCTTTGCTTCTCCCTCTTTCTCTGCTTCGGTTTACCAAAGGGGGTGAGGTCGACCTTCTTTCGGTGGTACCTTTTCTGTCTAGCTCGTTCTCTTGGTCAAAAGCCACCTTAGTGGCCAAGAATAATAAGAATCGCCCGGGATGAGTGAGAGCTAAAAGAAAAGCCTAGCGGTAATTCCCGATCTTCTCTTGATAGAAAGATCATATCAACACCAAAGACAGATCGTAGTTACGATAAGAAAGGTATGTCGGTTGATGGATGTAGTTCATTCTAGAAGTTGTTTGTTAACCGAATAGAATTGTTCGGTCGTGGTACTTTTGATTGCTATTCAAACACATTGTCGAAAGGGGAAGATCGAATTAGCTCTGGTTCAAGAAGCCTAGCCTTCTTTCTTCGTAATTCTACTGAACAGGGTCGATCCACTTTACTATAAGTAAGTAAAATCGGAAGCCGTTTCAGGTGCATAAACAAAAAGGCGCCTTCGGATACAGAAGGGCTACTCTAGTCACTCAAAGTCCTAGCTAAGTAAGGAACAGACTCTCCAAACAGAAGTACGTACTGCGCGGCCAAGGAAGCATCCGAAGCATCTAAAGTTGAATAATCCGAATCTGTTGAATAGGAAGCCTTTGATTCGCTCGCTTTCTGAGAGGCTGAATCATTCGATTCGAAAAAGGTGGAAAAAAGGTCATAGCACCAGCACCTGAACGCTTACTCTTACTGCTTCAGGTTCACCTCTTTTCTTAGGATTGGCTGCCCTGAGGTTCTTGTTTGGAGTCATTTTTTTATCACAGAACAAGTCCCCTTCAGTCACTGCCATAGTTGACCCAGTATCAACCCTCTCTTCCAGATCCTCGCTTCTATGGGCCAAATCACTCTCCTCGCTCGTTAAACTCGCACCTTGACTACACCCTTCTCGGCTTTGTCACCCAGACACTCATCCTGAGCAATCTCTTCAGGTTCAGCAGTGTCCAGCTCCCCCCCTTTGCCATTGTCACTACTGGTACCTGACCCCGTCGGCTCGACATTTTTGCAAACACCGACCCTTACTCAATAGGGCAATGAAAAGAGGAGAACGAGGACAGCTGACTACCGCTAAAAGTCAGACTACGAGTACACATTGTATGATTGAAAACTGTCGCTGCGTACTACCCGGTGCTTGCAGGTCTGACTGGTGTCTTCTCTCCAACAGCTGCTTCAATCAATGTTAAGTCTGACTACTCGGCTTGCTTAACACAAGTGTGATTTAACCTTCACGGACCACTTCACTACCCGGCGAGCTCCGGCTCGAAAACAACAAGCAAGGGATTGAGCTGCGCGAAAGCCTAAACTCCTGACTCTAACTTCACCCCTCTCCAACCAGTCGAGTGGCATTAGCCCCTCTCCCAGCAAGAGGATGCGCGAACCTCCAAGTCAAGCACGCTAGCGCGCTTTACCAAGGCTTTCTCTGATAGGGGCTCGAACGCCGTTGCTTGTTTGGGTCGAGCGTAAACCTTAGCGCATCCGTTTTCTTGCTCCTTAGCACAAGCAATAAGTAAGCCCGTGAAGGAAAGGCCTTCGTGTTAGTAAGCTAGCTTTGTAAGGTAAGCTAAGCAAGCCTGGTTCTCCGGGCACTACGGTAGGACGTGGATAGATCATGACGAAACTGGACTTCTCCGTAATGTAATAGAAGAGTCACAGTCCAGTTCCCCGGGCTTTCTCCCTTCTCGACCAGACGAAGGAGATATTAATTCAATTCAGGCGGGTAAGGGCTTGGCTTGACTCTGTGTTCTCTCCAGGTCGGGTCGGAGGCGAAGACTGGCAAAGTTCATCATTCAGTGGTGGGGTGTTCATAGAAAAGAGGGCGTCGCCCAACGAGTGGCAGATTTTTATGGAGTCTCGCTCATAGATAGAGGAAGAGTACGCGCGCTAGCGCACTACGGCTTACGCAGTTGATCGAATCAGATAGCCGGCAACCAACCGCACATAAAATTCCGATCAACAACTTGGAGGTATGGCTGAGTGGCTTAAGGCATTGGTTTGCTAAATCAACATACAAGAAGATTGTATCATGGGTTCGAATCCCATTCCCTCCGGCACGGAAGTGAAACGGGCGAAATTACGTGAGAGAAAGAACCTCTTGGTGTTGGTGGAATCCCCCGGAGGATAGAATAACACTACTT